TTTTTTTTCCTCTTCAAAAAATAAAAAGGAGCCGGAGTCGCCCCCTTTTTGGCGGCTCCGGCTCCGGCTCCGGCTCCGGGCTATATTGTTTCACGGCTCCGGCTCCGGCTCCGGCTCCGGGCAAAATATGCCGGCTCCGGCTCCGACTCCGGCTCCGGCTCCGCATCCCTGCTTTAAAACACTCATTTCATTGGAAACATCCATAATGTATTGTGCAAGCTTTTGTGTGCAACACTATAGACTTAAAAACTCGCAATCACTTGTGGTTAGGTACACTCATAAGCCACCAGTGTTCATTTACCCCGGATTTGCTTTGTCTGCATCAAATTGTCTACAGAGCAGAGAAAAATCGTGCTGAACTTCTGACATTGAGTTTGGGGTAAGACGGGCAACTATGAATCCAATGAGTCTGTAATGGTGAAAATATTTTTGTTGCTGTAGGAAAAAAAGAAACATTTGTAATTAGAATATGTTCATTCCGATCCTTACAGACATGTTACATGTTAGCAATATTCCTTCGACACAGTTTATTCTCGAATAATGAAAGTGAAAAACGGTTTTACATGGCTTCTGAACTAGGGCCTATATACGAGCATACGCCTCCTGCACGAATCTCGTACACTGCCATTTCCGAAGCACTTGAGACCAACGAGCGACTGTATCAATGCGGCTAATCTCGGGCATTTGTTGCGAGCTGTGCTGGTCGGTGAAAGAAACTGGCCGTCTTGCCCTAGTCATGTGACCGTCTTACCCCATGGGGTGGAGTAAGACGGGTTTTTGCAAGGTTTTGCAAAAATAACTGCAGTTTATTTGTTGAATCAGGTCTAGGTAAGTCTCATCTTCTGGCAAATGGAAGTAAAATGTCTAAAAAAGGTTTTCACCCAGTTTCCCGTTTCTATGATGTTTCTAACCGGCCGAAAAATGGCTCCAAGGTTAAGGTGCCCGTCTTACCCCACTTTCCCCTAGGAGTAAAATGTTTTCGGGGATTCATTGTTGTAGTAAGGGTTATCATAACTTCCCTCACCAATTTATCGTTAAGCCTATGTGTAGCGTAAAATAAACGGGCAACAGGGACTATGATGAAGTGAACGGTGCAAGACCACCAAGTATATAGGCCGATAGTCAAATCAACAACACCAATCAACAGAGGAGTAGAACCCCACGGCTTGCACACCCACCGGAGCTACAATAAACAAGCCGACATTATCACATACGATCGACCAAACAGACGTATACGGTGATCCCGTGAACTTCAGGCAGGTGGCGAGCGCATCGACCAAACAGCGGACGTTGTAAATACGGCAGCTGTTGCCCCTCTGCTCCGTCAGTAGGTATCCATCAAACAAACAACGGCAAACGGTGAATTTAAATAGAAAGTTAAGGTTCATACGTTATCGTAGGGTTTAGTTTGATCATTGCTGTAAGCGAAACTTAAATAAAGATAGGGGTCACTGTAATAACGTCTATAATGGAACCCTTGTTGCTTAGTGCTCATGACTCAATTAAAAGGGCGGCACGTGTATCTAAATATTTCAGAAAGCAAAAGGAAGGGCTTGAAACGTCTTACACCCCATCCTCAACAGAAGAGGATAAAACAACTCAGTCAGTGTCTTTCCAAATCCCAGTCATATTTCTTGTATGATTTAGGTCCACGGTTCGCCTCCTGCCTAGGTTACGTTTCATCGAGGATTATAATTCAGAATTGAATTATAATTTCCTCATGTTTGAAAGTTTTGGAAGTTCCTCATGGGCGAACTTCCGCCATGAGGGACGGAAGTTCGTTTTGTCTAAGAAATCAAAATGACACTTATAGTTCGAAGGCACTTACCACACCGTCTCTTGACCTTTCACGCAGTCCACGCACCAGTGGGGTGTCGTCAGTTTCGAGTTTCCCGACGATTCCATGCACTGCCAGCTTTTAATCACGCAGTCGGACCCGGTGAATCAGTTTCGTGACTCGTGAGTCAGCCCAAGAGTCAGCCGTGTTTATCTTTACGTTACGTTCCGCAGTCCGCACCCCAATCACCGGGTAACTATTAACGACGACGAGCAGACGGTAACCTGGCCCGTACCCAAACATTGCAAATGAACGGCAGATGCAATTCATGGGTGAGGTCCGCTCACAGCGTTTGACGTATAAACACGAAACGTGTTATGATTTCTTTACAGTGTAGGCATAGAAAGTCGAACATGCTACATGGGGATGGCAAGGGCCAGGGGACTATCTCATGGGGGAGGAGGGGGGGGGGGGGGTCAGATTCTGCCCCCCCCCCCTGTCTAACTTCCGAACCGAAGGTCGTAGAAAGACTAGAAAGACGGGAAAACGGCAATCGAAAGCTCTCAACAAGGCGGATCTTAAGAGCCCATTTTTTTGCTTAAGTAGATCAGAGCCAGAGGTTAGGTCAAGGTCAGGTCAAGGGTACAAAATGCAAGTTTCTACAGTATCGGCCTTGCACCGTAGTTGCCGAAGAATGGACTGAGACTGATTGCCCAAAACGTGTTCTTAGGCTACCAAGACAATATTCGTTGCATAGAATATCATTCAAAGGTCAAGGTCAAGGTCAGGTCAGGTCAGGTCACCAAAAACAAAATATAGAAAAGGGCATGTGCGACACATGTTTTATGGGTCATTTTATTCATAGAATTCAATAGGCACACTCAATAAATAATATGGATGAATTTCAGATCGAGGTCAGGTCAAGGTCAGGTCAAGTGAGGTCAAATTTTGAAAATGGTTGTTAAGGCCTAAAAAGGTGTCTATCTGATGCCGTTTTTCACGGCAAGTCGAACGGTGCTATTTTTGTTTGCGTACGAGGTCTAGAACTTTCAAAAATTCTTTAAAAAAATGTATGTCGTGACGTCATAAAATTTTGAATAACTCCCACATTTTATAACCGATTCTTATGAAAATTGGTATGTAGGTGCACATAGACTCTGACAAATATTCCGGTTTTTTGGATACACTAAAAATTTTGGATTTTATAATTATTTTCCCAAAAAAGTCAGTTTTTTTTAAAAAGTGGGCCAAAATCCAAAATTTTCAAAAAAAAAAAACGAGATAGCCATTTGAAAGACAAAGTAGAATCACGTATAACCTTTTTATACGTCTTGATTCCTTTAAAAATGAAGATGTTAGCGGCGTTTGAAATTTTGCCGTTTTTGTGGCCAAAATGGCGTACATGACGTCACTTAAACGTCTTTTTCTCAAAAAAATTCCGACGGATTTCGCTCCAATTTTCAAGAAACGTCTTAAATTGATGTATGATAAAGTACTGAAAGTTTGACGTCACTGGCGTAACGCGTTTAGAAGTTATTGGCGAAAAACGGGAGGGGGGCAGATTCTGCCCCCCCCCCCCCCCATAGCGGGGCGCGGGTTATAACACCGTCACCATCATATAAGTCATTTTTCTTCAAACTTCACGCTAAACCACTACCTACCAGAATGCGGCAGCCGTCAGCACAGGCCACACTGATAGAACATAACACTGCAAGTGACGCTAGTATTAGTAAATGATGCATATTGTGAACGCAAAAACATCATTCGGCTGCCTAGAAATTATAATCACGATTTAATTCATCGTAAACTCAAAAGGTAGATGTCACACAAACACTCACCAGTCTCAGAAGCGAGAAGAAATGAAAATCCAGCTGGCTCATATTCTTGCGCAGTAAAAGCTGAAGCTGATTGACGTCTCTGCCTGCAATGTACGGTAACGGTCATGCGGTTATATGAGGTCTTACAGTGTTGGATGATTCGAAATACGAATTACGAAGTCCGTAATGCCGAGCAATCTCGGGTAATACGAGTTCACTCAATATACCCTGATACGAGCCTTCCGTCCGGGGTTGGATCCGGTGTCACTATTTACTATGGGCGTCACCAGGTGTCACTAGCCACCAGCTACATAGTTCAGCGCCAATAGCGAACGGTGACAGCAGAACGTACCTTTAGTTTTAAATATCGCCGCTAGATGTCTAACCAGGCTGGCTGCTGGGCAGCGCTATCAAGTTCCCATAATTAGCATTTGTTCCCACATTATTTTCAGTGTCAATAACCTTAACATAACTAGATTTAACGCTCATCAAAACGTCAAACGAAATTAGCGTGCAACGAGCAAAAACAACAAATAAACACAAAATATCAAAATTGAATTACGGCCATCCCCGCCGGGCGGACCGCACCAGCTGATTGCCACCGAGACCAAACCGTGTCACGGCGTATCGATCGAGCGGCAGCATCCAGTGTCGGCTGTCCTGGCGCCGCCCCTGCCCCGCAGCGCGAGCCACCGCCGCCAGGCAGGCGGGGTGTCCTCGGCTGATCAGCGGTCACCGCTGAGGAAAGGGCACAGCGCGGAGCACCGGAGGAGGGAAGGGGAAAGTTAGTTTGTAGCTATGCGTTGTTACCAACAAACCGCGTTGAAATATGAAGGGTGGTGAAGAATCCATGGTCATTTTCACGTTTAGCTTAGCGACTACTTGTGTGGTGGAATTTGATCGCGCAAATGCCGCCATTCCGTCAACCATCAAAGTCCAAAACCACCGAGCATTTCAGCCAGCCAAGCGACAGCCAAGCTACGGATTGACGTAGAATGCAGAAGCTCCCATAACGATCCCACCAAGCAAATGGGTTCAAGCGAGCACTCTCCAAGCGTTTTCCTAACAGCACAGAATCAATATCTCAACCGTCCAGCCATAACTTTACCCAGACAACTCACGAGCTCTGACCGCGGAGCACCACGGAAGCTTCGGGAGCAGTCCGGGCTCCGTCCCGCACCTGCGTACTTGTCAGTGGAAAGCCACGGTCTCCTCTCCGCACTGCCGAGCACTCGCTGCGCAAATTGTTCGCGAGGGACAGTGCAGTGGAGGGGACGGTAGCATGGAACAATCACATCTCAGCCCAGCTGGGCGCGAGGAAAGGACGGATCAAGTAATGGACGACAGAACCAAGACACGAGTCCATTTCAACAGGACCCGCAACTCTCCCCAGCGACCTGCGACTCTCAGCGCACAGCCCAGAGATCCACTGAGCCTCTTTATTTGGCATCCAGGCTCATTTCGCCTTCGGGAACATCAGAAATCATCATCACACCACGTTCACAAGTGCACCCATTCCTCATAAAACCGCAGTACGACGTCTCACCCGAACACGACATCGCGACACGCCCGCTCGGCTCTCGGCACACCCGAACGTCTCTGCGCCGGCGCGGCGGTCCGCGGCACCCGAAAACAAACGACTCCAACAAACAATTTTGATATATTTGACTGAAACACAACAAGGTCGGGCCCGCCGGGCGCGGGCACGGCTGTACATTGCATCCGGGCTGTCCGACCGCTTGCGGCGCACGCACAGCGCACGCACGCACACGCACATCGCGCGCGCACGCGCACACGCACGTCGCGCGTGCACATGTTAAATAATGAGTAAGTTAGGCGGCGTGCCGACGGCAATGGTTCGGCGGCAGCGGGCGCTGCTGCTCCCTCTGCTGCGGCTGCGGCGGCGGCGCGGCGCGGCGGCGAGCGATCGTATCACACTGAAGTCACAGCACAAACGACGGCGCACGGGGGGCGGCGCCGACGCTACGAATTGGACGAGGTGCTCACCACGCCGGCGCCGCCAGAGTTGTTGGAATTACCGGCCGTGCTGGCCACACTGGGCGCGTGCGAGGCGGCAGAGTGGCTGGTGGCGGCCGCCACCGAGGCGGCGGACGCGGCGGCGGCGGCGGCTGCGGCGGCCGCCTGTCCGCCGGCCGACGACTGCCGTTTGCCGGAGGCCGGCTGCAGGTAGGGGTGCTCGGCCAGGGATCGCACGTCGTACCTGTCCTCCTTGCGGTACTGCAGACAGCAGCGGATGAACGCCTGCAGAGGTGGAGAGAGGCGGGTATCAGGATACCGGTCAGGGGCGGCGGACATTCGCCTTAATTTTTTAGCATGTTGACATTACCACACAAACGAAAGTCGTCCACACTCAGGATCTCGCTGCAAGCCAGGCTATTCAAACAATATCCTTGTCACCGCTACAAATATAGCACGACATACATGTTAACAAGCAGCCAATTTAAGTGACCCTTGCACGTTGTGGCATAAATGCAATATTTTAACAAGCAGCCAATTTAAGTGACCCTTGCACGTTGCGGCATAAATGCAATTTATAGCTTTGAATTCCTGTATACTAACGATAAAGTTGGTAGCTGGAAGAGTAGCATCAAACAGTCCCCTAAGCCCTCTACACCATTTAGCGCCCTGCCCAGACCCCTTCCCCACCGAGCCGGCCGGCGACGCTCACCTTTGCCTCCGAGTTGACGGTGGGCTTGTTGGGGAAGTGAACATCCTTGGCCTTCAGGATAATGTTCTCCTCCAGAATAGTAGCCTGAGACTGGTTGTGTCCGAACGGCTGTGGGAGGGGAGAGGTTTGCACGTCAGGCACAGTTTACATGACAGATGAGAACGGAACAGGCGAAAAAAGAGATCGAAATGAAATGTTTAGTCTACGAGCAGACAAATCCTCGCATCAGCTGAGCTTGTTCTGAGGGTTAGAAAGCCAGTAGCAAAAGTTCGTACAAACTTAATGTTACTGTCCCTTATGTTTGCCTGTCTCGTTGATTCTTAAGCTTGAATGCTGCAAGCATTTGTCAATACAATCATCAGAGCCTCAAGAAACAGCGCGTTCCGCAGCACTCAATAAAACCCACAACCCAGCTGGTAGCATAATACTTCCTCACCGATGGCAGTGCAGTACTTCCGCGTTAGCAGTAATCCCTCATTTAAAAAGTCACTCGACGCTAGTGCCATTTAAGCTGCGCTCACAAGACAGTCTCTCGTGTCTTGCATCACCCGCCGCAAGCCTTCCCCGTTCGTTCCCCTAACAACCGGGCAATAGCATACCTATTTCCTCAATCCTGAAACACATCACCCTTGCCCACCAAGGCCTGAAGACGGACTCCTCGCGTCGCGAAACTCACCTTCTTGCCGTACAGACACTGGTAGAAGATGATGCCGACGCTCCAGACATCCACCTTGCTGGAGATCTTCGGCGGGTTCTTGCCGACCACGAAACACTCCGGAGGCAGGTACCTGACGAGAAAAAGATCACTGGTTAGCAAGTGCAGAATCAGGAAGAGTATCAGGCAAATGAGCCCAAAATCGCATGACTATAAGCTATCGTGCAGCTAACAATCGTGTGATGAACAACTAACAAATGAGCCAGCAGAGGCCTTACACGAGTGTATAATGGAGTCACGATCGCGAGCATCGGACACGACGGCGGCATCTCCGCGACAGAAGAGCCCAAACCGGCTCTGTCCGTGACGTTAAACTGCCCGAGTACTCGCGCTCACTCGCGCTTACGACCGCAGTAGGATTGGAGTGGCGTTTGGGATTACGGGAGCCGGTTTTCTCCGCAGGCTCGGATTATTAGCGTACCCAGGACGGCGGCTCAGAGTCCCTATGGTGAGAATGTGGAGCATGACACTGACTCTGTAAGCAGACATCGTTTTGAACATCGTTCGGGCCCCGAATGATCCCTGAGGGATGGATAACTTCTGGGTTAAAATTTACAGGTCTGTTGGCATACCCAATACTCATTCTATGATGAAACAAAATTCGCTATTTTCTAAAGCATTCCAACACCTTAAATGATAAAACAGTCGCCTGCACCAAGCATCACTACTACCCCAATTCCTAATCCGTGAGTCGCACACCACAACCCGGACATCAGTCGGCCCGAACAGTAGCTGCGTTCCACCCACCAGCAGACGCCCATCCCCTCTCCCCCTGTCCCTCCCTCCCTCTTCCCCCGTTGGTCCACTCACCAGTAGGTGCCGGCTCCCTGCGAGGTCAGGTCCATGCCGTGCTCGGGGTTGTAGTTGTCGTCGTCCATCACCTTACTCAGACCAAAGTCGGTGATCTTCACCTCGCCCAGCACATCGCCGTCCACCAGCAGAATGTTCCCTGAGGGACGGAGGGGCAGGTCAGAGGTCAGGTCAGGTCATTGAGATGGGGTCACGGCTGTCCGTTTGTTTATTGTTTTTTTTTTTTGGGGGGGGGGGCGCCGGGTCATAGCTGGACTAGGGATGGAGGAGACGCATCAAGCCTCCCTTAGACCACGTGTTCAGTCACGAGACTTCAGTGCTAGCGGAAGTGCCTCGTAATGACAGCTGTGCGAGCAACAATCATGGTGCAATAAAAACGTAATAAAATGCCGCACAGGCAGCAGCTCTGGACAGCTGAACTACTAGGAACTACACTACCACAATAGTCTTTACAGAGCCATCGCATGGACAGACATCAGATAATTTCATTGCAATATCTAATATGAATCTTTATTCAGAATTCAATATTTTATTTTTATAGACTCAATGGATAGAAAGTTTGCTGGCCATCAAAAAGCCGTCGACATTCAATGAAAAATAGTGTCGTATTGACCAGCAGACATCTAGCGATACTTTTCAGTGATTCAGCCTTCGTAAGCGACAGGCGAGGCTGAGATACCCAAGATAAGAAACTTTTGTCTCTGATTTTCGTATGCATCGCGCTCTGTGCGCATATACCTATCATACTATTGGGGAGCCGTATTTACACTGTGTATGCGCGTGTGTATTGACGGGGCGGGGGGGGGGGGAGGGTTTCTCACCTGGCTTCAGGTCGTAGTGTATGACCGGCGGGTGGATGCTGTTGAGGTATTTGAGCGCAGACACCACCTGCATTATGATAGAGCGGGCCTCGCGCTCCCCGATCACCTTGTGCTGTAACGAGAGAGCGCCCCGGTCAGACTCATTTCATCGTTTAGCAATAAGTAGAAACAGAGTAGTCATACAGCTCAGAGTAGTCCTAGGGATCCCGGTCCTACGGGTCTATTTTGTATTTCCAGCGGCATGCCACTTTTTTCTTATCCTTCTTCCCGCAAGCTGTTCTAATTTCAAAATGAAAGCCATGAGCCTTGACAATTTAATTCAAATACTGTGCAGCTGCACTGCTCAACTCAGCCGTGTACAATTACAACATAGCCCTATCGGACGTCCCTCCTCAAAACGCCACACATCCTTCCGGCAGACTTATCCCACCAGAGTTCCGTCATCCACCCCACCCCCTCCCTCACAACCCTACCAAGTCTGACCTGCTTCAGATAGAAGTCCAGGTCGTGTCCTGAACAATACTCCATCACTGTGCAGAACGAGTTGGAGTCGATCTCGAACGCGTCGTAGTGCTCGACGACTCGCGGGTGGTTCAGCGTCCGGTGGATGTTGTACTCGCGCAGCGCGTGCTTGATGTAGTTGGCCTTCTTGTCGTCCTTCCAGTCCTTGTTCAGCTGGTGGACTTTACACGCCACGTAGCGCTGCTTCTTCAGATCGAACGCCTGCGGCGGAGAGGGGAGGGTTAGTTGAGGCGCGTGATTCATGTGAAATGGACAGCAAGAAAAAGGGCAGAAAGAATAGTCTAGAAAAAGAATGAGAATGAGAGCTTCAGAAAAAGATGGTAAACTCGATTTGTTGAAAGCGTAAAGTAAGCCACTTAAAAAAAGACGACCGATGGTCTTGTGTTTCTAGGTAACGAATGGACACTTTGAGAAGCGTTTAAACTCAAATTCCTCAGAATCCTTTAAGATTAACCCAACTAATTTATAACATCTCTGATACTCGCCGTCATCTCGCTCTTTCTCCTCTTCTCTCTCCTCTCTCTCTCCCTCCACGTTCACGCACCTTGTGCACCTCGGAGAAGCCTCCCTTGCCCAGCAGCTGGATGAACAGGTAGCGGTCGTGCAGGACCACGTGGTTGTTGAAGCGCGATTGATCCTCGTTGTGGATACGCTTCAGCTCGCGGATGTGCAGGTTCCGCTCCCGCTCCAGCTTCTCCATCTCCAGCGTTAGGTCCGTGTCCTCCTTCTTTAGTGACGCCTGACGAAGCTGTTGGAGGAGGGGGAGGGGGAGTCAGTCGGAGGCGGGGGAGTGTTTCAGAGTTGCGTGGGGGAGGGGAGGGGGCGGAAAGTTGCGCCTGTCGCGACGAAGTTGCGCGAGTGTTCCGGAGGATATAAGTTTGGTAAGTGGCACTGCTGACATGGTTGTCTATAACTCTGGAGAAGATCAAGAACTTGATTTATTTTGAGCCATTTAATCACCTTTACAGTGAAGTCAGAATGCAGGCTAATAAATGGCATTGCAGAAGGCCAGCTGCAAATTTACGTCGACATTTTACAGAATATTCGTGAAATGACAGGCAGTGTGGACACCTGACAGGCAGGCAGCCGACCCCGCAGCGCCATGACATTTAGGCTGGCCCGGCGACCCCGCTCTGCCCGGGAGTGGTCAGACAGCAGCTCTGGCCGGGCCGAGTCCGACCCCGCACCCGCTTCAGTCCGTCTCACAGTCTCCCTCCCACAGTCTGCCGGGCCGCCGCCCTGGGCGGTGTTTCACGGGCTGCTGCTACCACGCTGCTATCAAATTGCGCGAGCTGACGTCACACTTGTGGTAGTGTTGGAGCAATGGGCCTGTTGATGTCTCCATGGAAACCCAATTTGACAAGTCGTAAAATCGGCGTGCTGCTATCACCGGTGAAACAGGGCCCTGGCTACCAGTGACGTCACTGGCCCTGGCGACTGACGATGACGTCACTGGTCGTCTGATCGGCAGCCCGGGCGGCGGTCGGCAGCCGTCAGAGCCGGCCGTCACCGGTCAGGGGCGCGCACAGGATACAATGGTGCCGCCGCTGTCGGCAGGGGCGTGCCCAGGACAGCCGAGACGGCGCCGCGGGGGAATTGGGGAGGGGCGGCGAGCCACAGCCGCGGGGAGGGAGGGGAGGGGAGGCCGCTGAGCCGCCGAGTGAGGCGTATCGATCGCGCAGGAATGGAGATGCAACATCACACCGGATCAGCCACCGCGTATAAGACAGCAGTGGGAACGCAGCGGCATTTCGGCGCGCACGTCCAGGGTAACGGACTGGGAATTACAGCTCGGCACTTCACCGGACGAGCACGCGTACCCACACTCCGCCATACAAACATAGCCGCCGGCGTCCGCGGGCGGGAGGTCCTTATCGGCGCCGATCCGGGCGGAGCGCTGGGTTTATTTCATCACGGACGGCCCCAAACAACTGCGCAGCGAGGCGGCCGGCGGGGAACGGAGCTCTCTGTCACCACCTGGGAGACGCCAGCGCCGCGGCGGCACCCGGGCCGGGATTACGCAGAACTCGAAACCTGATCGCGAAACACGTCCCAGGGACCGGGGCGCAGGGAGGGGCGCCGTTTTTTTGCGGCCATGTTTTGTGCCATGAACAGCCATTCACCTAGCCCGACATTGTATCGCAAACGGCGACAGTATGAGCGTGAAATGGTAACGACCTGCCCCAGCATGACGTAACTGTTGCCAGTGTACCGTCGTTAGGGGCCACCTCACAGCTCGGGGCTATTCAATAACAAATAAATACACCGTCCAGCGACCGGCGGTGTGGTCACCGTGACATCAGCTCGGTGTGAGGGTGCGGACGGAGAGGGGAGGCTACGGAGAACGGCTCCGGCGGTGCTGTGGTAGTGACGCCCTCTGCTGGAGAGCGGGGTCGGGACAGGGACGGGGAGCGTCATGGATGTCACAGGGAGAAGTCACCGGTGTGGCATTGGGATGTGACTAAGAAGTCATGGGACATCAACTGGAGATAAAGCAGAATGACGGTTAGCGACGCGCGGTAAGGGCTGATTCAGCCGGGTGTGGGGATGTACCCGCTTCTCGCAGTAGCACTACAGCTCTATCTCACGGACGAATGGATGCACCGCTCTGCTCAATTCATTCTACTGTCTGGATGCTTGTCACCAGCCGGCCTTGGCAGTGGGCATGCCAATACCTTAGCGACGCGCCTGTTCCTACAACCCAGCATAGCTACGGGAACTGCCTGTCTCTTCTTCTTAGCGCTACAAAACGTGTAAATTACGACGGTCATATTTCGCCCACCCATCCTCTTCCAACGAACAACCATTCTCACAACCGGCGCACAAGACATCACTATGAAAAACCCTCCCTCTGCTAGCCCCTCCTCTCTCTCTCTCCTCCATCCCCACACTCTCCCCAATCCCTCTACCCACCTTGATGATCTCATCTGCCTCGTAGTACTCCTGGCCGCTGAGCCGGCCGGGGTCCTCTGGCCGCACGAACTCGCCACCGTTCTGCTGCACTGCCTGGGGCGCCGAGCCGGCTCGTTTCCGCGAGCTCTCGGCGCTGGTCGGTTTCCGCTTGGCGAGCAGCTTCTTCTGCCGGTCAAGCTCCTCTCGGGAGGCGGCCAGATCCTCCATACGTCTACAGGAAGGGCATGGGGTGGTTAGCGGGGTGTCCTCGGTTTCAGGTTCAAGGAAACAGGTTTCAAAAGACTTCGTGGAATGCGATCAAGGTGTAGAGTCAAATGAAGTGCGCGAGCGGTGGGTGATTGTATAGCTTTGGGGATTTGTTGCTTAGGGATTGATTAAAAAACTGGGCCTAAGTAGTACGAGACTACGAGAGCTGATCGACATTACGAGGCATTATCATAAGCACATCTATAATAAGAAAAGAGCAACAGGTCCATTTCACTCCTCCAGGCAGCCTATGTGTTCAGCACAAATACGAGTTCCCCAGGGCGGACAAAAAAGGCGTGTAGCCACACTGTCTTGCCACTCGGCGGCAAAAACGCATTTCCTCTGCCAACACTTCATCCCACTGGAGAGCACTTGACGCCTTCTCGAGAGCACACCACTAAAAGTCAGACTCTCGGCAATATAGCCAAGACAATCATACGAGAAAAGGCGTTCCCTACAACCAGAAACAATCTTACGGAATAGCAATTACGGCCAATCCTACATGACTGCATACGATTATTTGCGTAATTATTCACCTCCTCTCTGACTGGATAACATCCTTCTGAGGCCCGTACCCGGGACAAATATCTACACACTTACTGTCTCATCTCTACCAGTACACATCCTACCAGTACACCAGTACACATCCTTCCTCCCTGTCTATCCCACTGTCGACCACTTACTTGGTGAGCTCCTGGAATGCATATCCGTCGGTCCAGTTCTCCTGGAAGCTGGCGCCGACCCGTTGTGTCACAAACTGCCCCAGCCGCAGCCGGTTCTGCATGCACTTGGCCCTGCACTCCTTCTTCTCGATCTTGCTCTTCTCGATCAGCAGCTTCTTCACCATGTCCACACACCGGTCTAGGTTGGATTTGTGGGTCTCGGCGAGCTTCTGCTGGGCGGCTAGCTGTCGTCGCAACTCCTCATTGGTCTGTCGAGGGGGGAAGCGGAGGTCAGTGACCAGGGAGAGGTGGAGCACTACAGCTGTGACATTTAAGAGCCCCGAAATACGCACGACGAGATACCTGTGTGGATCAATAAGGATGGCTGATATTCCGAATGAGACGGGGAATATGATCTAATTTCGAAAGACGAAAAAGACCTCACACACATCCTGTCTGCGATGGAGCCGTTGCAAACCAGTACAACTCAGTAGGGCCATGGCATTTTTTTTCGAGACTACTTTCTCAATCGCTTGTTTTATCCACAGACCCCTAACGGCTTACAGTACCAGCCAATGCAACTCAACCTCTTCTCCATTCGTACTACCCACCCACGGCACCCGCCTCCATCCACTCCTGGCACCCTACCCTCACAACCACTCACCCGACCGAGCTCCTCTATCTTATCCCTGCGCGCCTCATCATTGGATGCCGCCTGGTTCTCCAGTTCACGAAAGTCCACTCCCGTCATTGTCGTTTGTACTAGCTTGGAGTTGACGGCGGCCGCTGCCGCCGCCGCCGCTGCCGCCACGGCCGCCCCGGGCCCAGCCAGCGCTGAGGGCGGGGGCGGGGGCGGCGGCGCGCCCGGCACCCCGGGCGGCGGCTGCGGCAGGCCGGGTCGCGCGAACGGTGCTGACGCGCCGCCCGGCAGACAGGGAGGCAGCTGGCAGTGCGGGCTGGTCGGGTACTGAAACGGAAAGACAATTACCATTAGCACACCGCTTACCGGGAGAACGCGAGTCAGACGCACGGTTCCGATTGTATGAATGAAACCATAGTGAATGTATGGAATACATAGCAAAATAGTGACAATATTATCCGGTAACGCCGAGCAAAGCATGCAGAATCGGACACAAATTGAACCGGTTTTCGTGCCTCATGCTGCAGCCCGCATAGTTACTGCCTATCGGAGTTGAGATCAATGCTCATGCAAATGGCTCACGTTTGCAAACTACCGCATATAAAAATAATACCGCGAGCAATGCGAAAGGCCTAAAGCAAGTGAGTTCCCAGATTAGGTTTTTTTTAACGTGCGCTTCAAAAGCTGTTCCCACGGTTACTGAACGCATGCCGAACACTGTCAGAGAATATATGGACGACCTATGGCACCAAGCAAGCATTACAAACAGTACTACTACAATTCCATTCAGAGACGATACAACAAATTTCACGAAAAAAAGCAACCCAACTCAGAAAGTTGAGAAGTAGACAGCAACAAAGGTTAATGAACAAGCATAACAGATTGCGAAAAGTAACAGCTTATAAAACGTAAGGTTCCCTTTCGCGTCACGCCACATTTTCCACGTCAGCCCATGCCCAAAGTCGCCCTAAGAGGCCGATCTATCTACAAGCCTACACGCATACACCATCAGCCCCAGGATGGATGCGGAGTACGACCCAGTTGGTCTCACCGCAATCAGGCGGTGCCTGGGCGGCGCCAGCGGCGGGGGCGGGGGCGGCGGCGGGGGCGGCGCCGTCGCGCTACGCACCGGAACGGCCGGCGAGCCGCGGAAATAGTCGTTGATCAGCTTGTTGGCTTTGCTTTCGGCGCGCTTGGGTCCGCTGGCCGCAGCGTCGTCGGCAGCTGCGCCCTTACGTTTCCGCCTCCGTTCAGTGGGGGTGCGCGCCTGGGGGGCGGCTGTGGCCACGGATGGCTGAATTTTGTCCGGAGAGGTCACCTCTTCCCGGTCACTGACGGAGCCTGCCGACACGCACAGTTAAGGTCACGGTCACGGTCACGGCCGGGGTTAGGTCACAGTCACGGTCACATTCAAGATCACGGTCAGGTGTATACTCTCACTGAAAGACAAGGCGAACCAGATAGTAACAAGGACGAAGATGGATATGATAACGTGGATTTAGATGCTACAGCCTAGTATGAGCTTCAAGAGCAGGTACTTTATCATTTTTCTCAAACAGCAATGACGCAAGTGGACACCGCATTTGAAGAAGAGATACATGAACCGACGTAGACAAAACCGCACCACGAAATGAGATCTGCATTTTTGTGGCGGCGAGAAGAAACGACAAAAGACGACGAGAGCCTGTCCTGTGGCTGGCAGTCACGGAATTTATGCCTCGACAAACACGGCACATCAGGGGGATTTATGGGCTACGAGGCAAGAGCTTATTCCGGTACAGTACAAGAGCGGAAAGAGGGGGAAATATGGGTTTATACGATAACACTTGGCACAAACGAATATTGCACGCTGCACATGAAAACTTGTGTTTAAGGGTGAAAATAGAACAGATTTAAACAAAATCGGAATAGCCAAAGTTTATCCTAGACAAATCGATCCAGCCATCTCAACCATGAAGAATCATGATCTTTGAGATCAAAATAAGCCTTGCAACTTTACAGAAGAATGACAAAACGGGCTTATCTCGCGAACAAGAGAAACATCCGTTGGCTTGACGGATGTTTCTCAGGAACGCATCACTCAATCACAATCCCTGACAGCCGACTGGCCATAATAGTACACAAACAATGTTTATCCCATTCTAGGAGCATACCATTAGCACACTGCCTTTACCGTGGTAAGCCACCGCCCGACGCTGCTAGCCTGTCTTACCTGTGCTCAGATTGGATCCGTCGTTTCCCTGAACATTACTGAAAGGCCCGATGGACGCTGCAGCCGGTTGTAAACCCACCTGGGGAGCAGAGACGTCGGGTCAGGTCAGGTCAGGTCAGGTCAGGTCAGGTCAGGTCAGGTCATACAACAGCTCGGGAGCAGACGTCGATGATTGACACGATAACGATACGGATAACCAATTACAATCGAATTACCGCTCACGCCAGTTATCACAGTAACGGGGATCCCGATTAACTTATCTTTATACTACCCACTGCTTCGCACGTAAACACGGGAAATTTTCCTCCTCCTACCGAAATCAGACGCTTCCTTATCTCACTTCTCACGGCATCTCACGGTACTATTCACTGAATCACGGCATCATTCACATCAGCACGGCATCTCACGGCAGCATCACGGCATCATCATGGCATCTCCCCTCACAGCTCTGAGCACCATCCGGGCATCTCACGCCATCTCAGTCGGAGAAAGTCCCCGCCATCGCCACCGGACCAGTCACATTCCAGAGGTCAACACTCCCACAAATCCGAGCCCAAAATGCTCCCAGTCTCCCCGGCGGCGCCACGCGAGACTGCCTTTCCCGCCGGGGGACCGGGCGTTTCACCTCTGGCCTGCCATTTCACACCAATAAATCTCCAGACACGGGAGTAAGAGAAGACCCACACAGAACGCTACAAATGTGTCCTCATGCTCCATAGTACTGACTATAACTGGCTTATCGCCTTTTTAGCCCATTGACTAATCAGCTTACCAGCCAAATCAGTCCGGTTACATCCAACACAATTTTTTATCAGGTAGTCAATTAATCCAATCCACACAACCGCCCACTGACTTCATGGACCGGATCCACAAATCTAATCCACCCAATGCGCTCACTCGCCGGACTAGATCCGATCAACCAATATCAACCACAAACCGCATACCAATCGAATTGAACCCAATCCATAAATCAAATCAAACTCCATCCGCCCACCTATCAATCAGCTAGGACCCAATCCACCTAATCCATCCCATCCGTCCTCCCCCGTTCCGGTCCGTACGCCCGCGTCACTTACCCGGTTTCCGGCAAAGCGCGCCTCGAGTAGTTCCACTTTCCGTCGGTCCATCGCCTGCAGGGAGTCCATTTTGGCAGCGTTCACAGCGCCTGTGGGCAGGGAGAGGCGACGGTCAGCACTCAGCGGGCGGGCGTACTGCGCAGGCGCGCGCCGGGTGGCACCGGGCGGCGGCGGCGGCGGCGGCGGCGGCGGTACCGTCACCCTAACACACACACATACATACACGGCGCGGCCACATCGGGCACGGGGCGGGGAGGGAGGGAGGGGAGGGGAGGGGTGAGGCGGACGGGTCAGTCGGTGTCGGCGATCAATAGGCGCGGAGAGCGGTCTGCTCTGCTGACTGCCGCCGTCACGATACGGTGCGCCGCACAACACCAACACAGACACCAGCACAGACACCAGCACAAACGCCTACACTAACGAAACGAACACCGGACTCAGCTGGACGGGAGGGGAAGGGCCAGCAATAGGGCGGAACGAATCGCCAAAACAGAGCAGCGTTTACCATACATCCTCTGAGATTCCAGGAACAGAACAGGGCCCTGAGAGAGCGCCTCGATAGCACACTACCACACCCATACGGGAGCGTACTACATTACTAAACATCATCACATCAAAATGACGCATTTAAAAACCACCAGCAGCTGTGTGAAAGCACATCACTACACCACGTCTGTGCATGATGGTGCACAAAATACTACCATCGTGACAGAGGGCAGCACGGTTCGACACGAAACACGACACGACAGCGGCGAGCTGCCGACCGGCACACCATTTCACCGAGGGTTGGAGCGTGCACTACAACACACTACAGTGCACGACATTTAGCAGTATGTTACACAGAGACGGTATGAGCACCAAGGCCGCGGACACACTGACAGCGAAAAAAATACGGCCGTTCACTGCGTGAAATGACATGGAGTCATGGTGCCCGCATACGCTGCGGTATGCCAACGCGAAAACACAGAGCCGTGACGATAATGGAACAAAGTTCAACAACCCTGGCACGGCGCCCGCCCTCCCGATCTGCCAGAGCTCGAACCGCCTCTGACGGTCCCACAGAGCGCCCCACTCGATCACGGCCTACCGCTGTCCGTCCGCTGGGCGCGCCTCTGACCGTCACACGGCGCATCAACACTGGTCCGGTCCCGGCCGAAACACAGCACGGAGCTGGGCTCACACTGAGCGGCAGCGGCGGAGGATCGGTGGGTCGGCCAGCGGCCACCGAGGGCTGCCAACAAGGTCACTGACGAGTGCCGCCGGACGGCGTCACGCACCGGAACGAGCACCAGCCACCGCCGTCCGTACTAGTGATGTCATTTTCCAAAAAATGTCTGACCGATACCGACCGAAACCAAAATTTGGGAAAAATTTCCGACCGAATACCGACCGATAACATCCCAAGCCAAAATTTGACCGAAATTTGACCGAAATTCTTTTTGCTATTACTCTACCCCAAAATTAAAATATTTGGTAAATTCTGATGGAAAATAATGCGAAATGGCATTTCAGTCCAAGTTCAGTCAATTCTTAGCCACTGCAAAATACATTTTGTGGTAGAAGTTACAATACAATGCTGAGGGTAGCAACACATGGACCTCAGCATTTCACAGATTTGGTTAATTAGAATTGTCAAGAATCTACTGTGGTCTATGTAAGGAAGAATGCTCATTCATGTTGCAAAAGCACGATCAATTAGTAAGTCAAATGGTTGGTAATATGTATGTTCATGACAACATTCCCTAATCCCTAGGAGAAAAGGCGGAATCAAAACACCACAAAACACATCAAAACTGCTTGGAAACTTGCCTTGAGTCTTGAGATGTGGTCTGAGATACTCTACAAAGAATTTGACACTGAAAATCCAGCTGAAAAGGCAGGTATTAGGTAGCTCTGAGCTTGAATTTTGTCCTAAAAATGAAATGAAAATTCATTAAACAGGCACTTTGTCTTATCTCTTGTTAATCTTATCTTTACATCTTTACAAGACAACAAAATATGCAGACAAAATTAATACAGTGGCGCCAAAGTGACGCAAAAAGTAATAGAAGAACCAAGGATTGACTTTTAAGGTCCTCTCTTCCCTAACGAAAGGATGTATGATGATGACGTAATATTTATTTATATGCCCTTTTGGTCTAATTATTGAGGGGAAATTAATTTTCTTGTAGTGAATTACACTCACAATGTTGATTTCATTAGAATTCAATATCTTGTTGGATCATTTAAATCAATAAAATAATTCACGAGGCAGCATGTAACGATCCAAAACTTTTTTTTTGCAGCAACTTAATCAGCTGGTTTAAAGTCTCTGTTATGGCGCATCTGTTTCGAAATCCTTCCTTGTGTTTGGAGGTTTGGAATGTGGAAGATTCCAGAAATCGGACATGGGCCTAATATGTAGTTTTTGTCAAGATTCCTATGTTTGTATGTTGTGGTCATCTAGATTTCAAACATTTGGTTCGTACCCGTAATATTTAAGGAGAATGTGGAATAGTAGAACACCTGTGAAATGTAAATGTGATCACTGCTAAGTGCTAAGTGCGGTGCTAACTGTCCAGTCTTCAGAAACACGTTTCAGTAATTCAAGTTATTTTTGTCCTTGCATTTTTGATGACTGTATAATGATTTTTTGTAGGCAATACTTCTTTGATTACAGGTGAAATTTTAACAGACTGGAATAGAGTTTCAAAATTGTGTGTACTTGTGGGGTCAACTGAGTCAAAATCAGCCTGCTTGGCTGCTTGTAGTTGTGGTTGGACAATGGGTGGCTGCTGCCTGCTGGGTGGGATGGCTAATGAAGATGCCAAAATGTGGCATTTGGCATTTGGGGGAAATTTTGCAACTTTATCATTAACATCCCAATAAATTTCATTTTAACTAGGCAAAAATGGAATACTCTCTCTTTGAGAAAATGGTTTCACTGGCAGGGTGACCGAAAGTGTCCGATTTTTGGGGGGCCTGACCGACCGATTACCAAATCGGTCAGCATATATTTTCGGTAACCGAAATTTTCGGTAACCGATTGACACCACTAGTCCGTACCGCCGGGCCGGACCGCCGCCGGCGCACGTCACACACTCACACCGGCCCGCAGACAGACACACACACCAGCTCAGCTGGGTCGGCGCCGGCCGCTCACACACAGGCACACAGACATACTGACGGTGCGGCACGGCACGGCAGACAGACATACACACAGCCGAGTCCGGGAGGCCGGCGGTGGTGGCGGGCCGGTCCCACCTCCGCCATATACTCCGGGACACTATCAGGGGCCGGCAGGAGCGGCGCGTGTCAACACGGGCGGGGAGGGAGAGGCACGCGTGGCACCACCGCGAATCTACACACCCTAGTCCTAGTCAGTGGAGCCTGGTCTAATCTACAACGGACGGCGACGGCAAGGGAGGTGGCGCCAGCGGCGGAGGCCAAGACTTGTCCAACAGCAGTTTCGTTACGGGGCTTCGCAAACCAGTTCCGCGCATGCGCACGTGACACGGTTCTATGAACAGCGGTGGGCGGGCAAGCCTCGGCCGCCGCCGCGCCGGGCCGGGCCGGGCCTGGTCGAAATCCCAGCTCACTGCACTGCACGGCACCGCGCCAGCCACGAGAAGGCCGCTATGGCACCGGACCCTGCGCCAGAGCGCCGAATGAAGCCTGTCACGGCCCGGCACGTGACTGCGACGTCACAGGGGTGAAAGTGACGTCACCGCGCGGCGCACGGGACCAGCCGCCTCCGCTGCTGAGCGGCTGAGGAGGGAGATGTTCCGCGCGGAGCGGAGCGGACCACGGCGGAACGGCTACATCCGGGGCGCGGTGACGTCAGCTGTCCTGGCGATGACGTCACGGGACGGGTGCCGTCCTGCTATCGCGACTCGGGCAGTGCCCGCGCCGGTGGCCATATCAGGACGGGAAGACCAACAGTCGCGGGTGTTTGAGAGGGAGTCCGTCCCCACTGGACCGTCGGACATCGCAAAACAGCTGAGCACGGACGTCTCAATCAATACGGAGGTTAATCATCGAGCGGCGCTGGGCGGCGGTGGCGGCGGCGGGGGCGGGGGCGGGGGCGGCATCGGGCCGCCGTCGCCAGCTGACCTTTCTGCTCACAGAGCGCCGGTCGGCGGCGCCGCGGTCCCGACGGACGCGCCACCAGCTGGCCTCTAAATTATCGACCGACCGGCCGGCCGGCCGGCGCGCGGCCGCCCATTTTTCCAAACATGTCCGCGCGGCTAAACAGCGAGGCGGCCGCACGAAGCCGCACCGGGCGGCAGAAATAGCGACTGCCGGAGCGGCAGCGGCGGCGACAGGAGACGGCCAGGGGCGGCGCCGGCCCGCCGTCTGCACGGGCGCGACTAATTGGCCATGGTCAGAGCACCGCCGGGCGCAGCGGCGGCTCCAGGGCACCCCGGGAGGGTGGTTGAGCTGCACGGTACCCCCGCGGGGGCACCATAGTCCCACTGCAGCGGAGAGATGTAGCGGCAGCCGGGGCGGCAAACTTACAAACATTCCTGACCTTAAATGGACAGGGTTTTTCAGCGAGAGAACGCCGGAAAGATTTACGACCGAGCACGAGGGAGAGCGAGAGAGAGGCGCCGGGCCGGGGGAGGGGGGGGGGGGTACGTCACCCACCATCCTCCGAGCCTGAGCTCGCCACTGACGCTCCGGGAATGAACACAAAGGCGACGGGGACGGTTCTGACGGCCGGCTGGCCAGCGGAACGCCGCCTCCGGCCGGCCCCCGCACCGCACACACGGAGCTGCCAGATCACACACCCAGAGCTGCCAAATCACTTGCACGAGCTGCCAGATTATCGAGGCGGTCTTGCGGTATGGCTCGCGGACTGGCGGTAACTTGTGTAGAAGCAGAATCGCGTAATACAGTTCTGTGAAGCGCACACTAACGTCTAATCTCAAGGTGAATCCAGTGGTGAATCTGCCGGATCACCGGTGTAGCGGCGATTCACCTGGTTGGTTACGGAGCTCACGTGACTTTTTGTCAGCCAGCACCACCGGTGACGCGGACGGAAGTTCTTCAGACTGCTGCGGAAATGACGCATCGGTACAGTGTTGCCATATCCCATAGGGCTGCCACA